ATACAACGCAAAATAACAACAAAAAAATCCAATCAAAAAATGAGCAGAGGATCTGAACAGACACTCCTCCCTAGGGGACATATAAATGGCCAACAAATGTATGAAAAGATGCTCAACATCTATACCAATAGGGAAATGCAAATCAAAACTACAATGAGATAACATCTCACACCTGTTAGAACAGCTATAATCAACAGGACAAGTAATAACAAATGTTGAAGAGGATGCAGAGAAAAAAAAAATCCTTATACACTGCTTATGGGACTGCAAATTGGTACAGCCACCATGGAAAACAGTATGGGGGTTCCTCGAAAAACTAAGAATTGATCTACCATATGATCCAGTCAGTAATCCTTCTACTGGGCATTTTCCCCAAAGACTTGAAAGCCCATATCCAAAAAGATATTTGCACGCCGATGTTCATAGCAGAATTATTCACAGCAGCCAGGACATGGAAGCAACTGAAGTGTCTTATGATACTTGATTGGCTAAAGACGCTGTGGTACATATATACAATGGAATATTACTCAGTCATAAGAAGAGAAGAAATACCACCATTGCGACAACATGGATGGACCTCAAGATAATTATGGTAAGTGAAATAAGCCAGAAAGGAAAAGTTGAAAATCACATGATATCACTTATATGTGGGATATAAACCTGAAAGCAACAAATGAGCAGGACAAACAAACAGAGACACATGGACATGTACTACAGACTAGTGGTTACCAGAGGACTATAGATTAGTGGTTACTAGTGGGGTAGGGGAGGAAGGGGGTGGTAGGGTAAAGGGGGTCAAATATAGGGTTTAGGGGTCGGTGAAGTGGGTAAAGGGGATCAAATACACGGTAGCTGAAGGAAACTGAACTTTGGGTAGTAAACACACAGTAGAATATACAGATGTCAAATGATAATATACATCTGAAAATTATATAATTGTATTAACCAATGTTACTCCAATACATTTATTTAAAAAGAAAAACATAAACTTTGTATGCTAGAAGGGCTTGGCAGGAAATAGTCAAAGTGATGAAAAGCAAGGACCTATAACCAAGACTGCTCTACCCAGCAAAGCTATCATTTAGAATTTAAGGAGAGAGAAAGAGCTTCCCAGACAAGAAAAATTTAAAGGAGTTCATCACCACCAAGCCAGCATTATAGGAAATATTAGAGGGACTTCTTTATGAAGAAGGAAAAATAAAAAATATCAAAAAGATGAATAATAAAATGACAATAACTATATATCTACCAACAATTACTTTAAATATAAATGGACTAATCAAAAGATAGGGTGGCTGAATGGCTAAGAAAATAAGACCCTTACATATGCTGACTATAAGGGACACTTCAGATTGAAAGACCCACGCAAAACAATAGTAAAGGAATGGAAAAGATGTTTCATGAAATTGGAAACAAACAAAAAAGCTGGAGTAGCAATACTTATACCAGACAAAACAGACTTTAAAACAAAAGCTATAACAAGAGACAAAGAAAGACCTAGTTATCCCATTTCTAGGTATTTATCTGAAAAAACTCAAAACACTACTTTTAAGAGACATATTAATCCATATGTTATTGCAGCATTATTTACAGTAGCCAAGATGTAGAGGCATCCTAGGCGTCCATCAATGGATGATTAGCTAAAGAAGAGGTGATATACATATATACAATGGAATATTACTTGGCCATAAAAAAGAATGAAATCTTGCCATCTGCAACAACATGGATGGACCTAGAGGGTATTGTGCTGAGTGGATTAAGTCAGACAGAGAAAGACAAATATCATAAGTGGAATCTAGAGACCAGGATAACAGAAACAAGCTCATAGATACAGAGAGCATTTTGATGGTTGTCAGATTGGGGGTGGGTGAAGGTGGGAGAGAGTTAAGAGGTACAAATTAATAGTTATAAAATAGCCATGGGGATGTAGATCATAGCATGGCAATATAGTCAGTATTATTGTAATAACTATGCATGGTGTCAGATGGGTACTGGATTTATTGGGGTGATCACTTCAAAAGTCATGTAAATGTCTAATCACTGTGGTGCACACCTGAAACTAATATAATATTGTTTGTCAACTATAAATGAAAAAATAAAAATATAAAACTGCTTAAAAAGGCTGAGAGAGAGACAGAGACAGAGACAGAGACAGAGAGAGAGAGAGAGAGAGAGAGAGAGAGAGAGAGAGAGAGAGAGACAAAAATACACACA